AGAATAGTAATTTATGTGGAAATCGTAAGCGATGATATTATCGATCGATTTCTGTTCGAAAGTGGTTTTCGATACCTTTGAGAATAGACCCCCAGACGTGAACAGCCGGTTCGATAGTGTTGCTATGCGGATGTCGTCACGACCGTTCGCGTCACCTTACCATAGATGATGGGAAGGACGGGGTGTCGCGACGGCGCTGCGTGCCGCGGTCTGGTGGTTGATGAGAGAGATAAAGGCACGGTCGGCGACAGACGTTTCGATAACGGCTACCGCACGGGTCCGCATCACTTTTTCATAACAAATTACAATTGTTACGTGCCAACCGTTTGATCCGTTAATTCAGTTACAACGTCTCAGTCAACGCTTGTGTGGAAGTGTAGTCAGGAATAATTAAGACTTCTTTTTAAAATAATTAAATTTATTTAACTTATAAAAATTATTCTAACTACAAATTTTGTAAATATTCTAGTGATAGAAATTATTTAAGTCCTAACAATTGTCCTTATAAAATAATTGGAAATATTTCTAAGTCCAGACCATAACATACACTGACGTGAAGGTGCTCAGTGCAGCATAGACAAGACTCGTCTGATTTGCCCTTGTTTTCGGGTCCCTTTTATATGTGATATTGTATGTGTGTGTGTAAAATCCCAAGTATGTGTGTGTATATTAATGATAATAAAATATGATAATTTCTTATTGATTTTGCATGTGTGTGTTACATAATTACTGATGCAGGGATACAGGATGTGGTCAACCACCCACGTATATGTGACTCCAATATTCATATTCTTATTTAAACAGATAACCATGTGAACAATTTAACTTATTCACACGCCCAGTTTCGATGTTCATGAGAACCTCTTATAATGTGTGTTTTATATTATGTGACTACGCAATACGCGACACAATTAAAAAACAAAATAGTAGCTATTACTACCAGATCCAAGGGCAAATACATATTTGTTATTTATACTAGCACTTGGACAAGCATTGAAATATTAGATTATGATGATGATTTTTGGCAGATTAAAATAGCATCAAAATTAGAAAATTTAGTATTAAAATAAACGTAAAGACTATACAAAACTTAGTATATAAATTAATGTAAATTTTTAATAACCTATTTAATTAATAATAATATGGTTTTATATCATTCTTATAGTTTTTATATGAACTGTCTACTGCCGAAATTAATCAACCCACAATTTGGAAAGAGGTTACTTGTTTCCGATATAAAAGACCCACGATGACGAGTGTAAAATATTTACTACATTTCTTTTTTATTTCATTATATTAAATAATCAATAAATTATTACTAAAATAAATGTCTAGAAGTGTATAAGTAGGTACATATTGTTTAAAAAACTTGTAATTATTGAAAAAAAATGCTTGTTTACTACACTACTACTTTCAACTTTGTCTACACTTAGTAGCTTATGTCTTAACACTTTTAAACACATTAAACCCGGCAGCGAGCACGTCGCATACATAGAAAAATATATAGGCGAGATACATTGACGCGAAAAGTATACTAAATTATAATTACCGTCAGACCGCCCGCGGAGTAATAATGCGCCTCTCCCGTCACTGCGGCGCAGTATATATATTTATAAGGGGCTGGTACAGTTCTCCCAATTTCGATAACAACGAGTTATCACCAAAATCGAATTTCGGGAGATCGTTTGTGCCAGCCTTAGAAAAATAAATTTCCCGTATTATAATAATGATTAAAAAGTTTTTTTTTACCAAGCCGACGTAACCAACGTAAAATTACAAAAATCCTTATATTGAAAATAAAATATAAAAACCTAACTATCGCTTATCAATTATAACTACAGATTATCAATACTAACTTTGCGTGAATTTAAAACATGTTTAAATATTAATTTATTTAACTCTTTGAGGCATGAGATTTTAATAAATGAAAAAACCCGTCTAGCACACAAACTTAATTTTTTATTTTTTTCAAACTTTTCTTACAACAAATTACTGTTTGTTGATTATAGTTAAATGTTCAAAAATTAAAAACTAAAAAAAATTATTTTTTTTTTATAAAAAAGAAGTAGGTTAAAAATATGTCCCGCTGTGCAGCATTAACAACATTTTTTTCTTTATTCCTTTTGAACTGAAATAAATCAGTAAAAATTATCAAAATTCATAAAATTTAAAATATTTTTTATTTTAAATAAGAAATACTTACATTTTAACATGAGTGGTAGTTATTGAAACAATTTCTTGACTTAGAGATGCAAAATGGCACATCACATATGGTACATTTCCAATCTGTGCGAACTTCTTTTTCTTTAGTGCTACAGTGGGCGCATTTTCTTCTTGTCGTCCGTTCTGGCTGATGTGCTGATTGATCTTTGCGAACAGATGGGGATACAGATGCTCTTTTTATGGAAATAGGCGATGGTGATGCGGAAACTTTCTGTTTGCGTTTTTGAAAAAATGTTTTTGAAACGAGGCTTTTTGAGATCTCACGACGAACATTTTTTAATGTTATTTTTT